CGTTTTTTAAAAAGTGGTTTCTATCTACATTATTGCATCAATTGTTCATTCTCATAAAAGGCCAAGAAAATCTAATTAAGAAAACCTTTTTTATATATTTTTTTTTAAATTAAGAATTGTATTTTTATCTTTAGTGGAATAGGCCTACGGGGGAAATCACTTTTTAAAAAACGCGTCAGCATTAGTACCTCATGGGTGACGTGGAAATCTATTGAAATATTTCCACTTAATAAATTTAAAATAAAAAATTTATTTTTAATAAATTTTAATAAATTTTTTTAAATTTTAATAAATAGGGAGAAGAACTCACTCATAATCAAATAATGCCGCTCCTAACGCTCGGCGGCGCTGGTCCTAACGGCTGCGGCGCGCGCGGTAAGGAGAGGAAAACAGGCGTATACCGCGGAAATCGGCTGAAATGTTCAACTAATTCCGAGCACTGCTGTATTATATACCGTACCTGAGCACACGAATTCGGAGCAAACTAAATGATCAACTCTAAATGTTTCTCATTTAAAAATGTTAGGATTTTCGTGTAGTTGTATTATATTTATATAAAATATTATATTATATTCCTTTTTTTGATATATTTAACATTTTCTTTTTTTCTAGGCTTTACCGGTACCCAATGCGAAATCGACATAGACGAGTGCGCAACGAGGCCCTGCTTGAACGGTGGCATCTGCAGCGATCTCATCAACTCTTTCAAATGCACCTGTGCCCAAGGTTTCGCTGGTTCTCATTGTCAGATCAACATTGACGATTGCGCTTCGTCGCCGTGCAAGAACGGTGGTATTTGTCAGGATGGTATAGCGAGGTACACATGCCAGTGCCCACCCGGCTTCACCGGTGCTTCCTGCGAGACCAACATCAATGATTGTGCGTCGAATCCATGTCACAGCGGCACCTGCATCGATGGCGAGAACAGCTTTACCTGCAACTGTTATCCTGGCTTCACTGGCAAGCTATGTCAGACGCAAGTCGATGAGTGCGAGAGTAATCCGTGCCAGTTTGGTGGTAGATGCGAAGATCGTATCAATGGCTACCAGTGTATTTGTCGACCGGGAACGTCCGGCACTAACTGCGAGGTCAACGTTAACGAGTGCTATAGCAATCCCTGTCGAAACGGAGCTAGATGCATCGATGGTATTAACAGGTAAAGTTGAAAAAACAAGCTTACATAATTTATTGTATAATTTGTTACCCGACCTTGGCTTGATATCCTCGTTGTTTACCGTATTGAAATATGTAATTTTCTGAATCCATTCAGATTTCGGCAATGTTATTATCAGATACGTACAATTAAATATGTTTTGTGGATGGTAAACGCGTACATCAATAGTAGCTTTGCTTTACTCTAATGGCTCTATAACTGAAAGAAAACAGCATTTTAATCTCTTTAATCTAAGAAAATTTGTCTGTTTTAAATTATTATTGAAAAATTAGCATCTTTTAATAATCAGAGCAGTGAAAATAATATAATTAGAATATTTTGTAAACTTTTTTCTTGTATTTGAAAAGTTAATGTACACTTTTTCTTCACAAAAATTTTTTTACCAATGAATTCATTACTCTATATCGATGATGACAATAGAATATAAGTTTGCAGACACAGGGTACTTTCCAGCAAGGGATACATTTGACACCACGTAACACAGTGTCGATGGTAGTGCTTTCCTACTATGAAAATAATCCGTAAATAAGCCGTAACAACTCGACACAGTTGCAAAACAGTCAAAAATTGTATTGTATGATGAATTCGGAATCATGGTTGTCAATTTCTGTGATTTTTTTAAATTTTATGTTGATAGCATTGAATACCGCTTCGATCTATTTCGAAAACTTGTTACAGATTATGCTGTAATATATGTTGCATTATAAGGATTTATTTTTTTAAGATTATTTTCAATTTCTAAAATGCAGTGCAAAAATTAACTCTTTTTTTTAATGAAATAAATAATCTTTTTACCATATAGTGATTTTAATTGTTTTTAATTATAAAAGTCTATGTTAAAATTATTTTAATCTGAATATTTAAACGTTTTATTGCAGAAATTGAATTAATCTATAATTGTTTAAGGGCATAATAAAACTTATCGTTATGTTAAAACAAAAATAAATTTTTTTATGTACAAGAAACAATGAGACAATGAGTTATATTATGTACATACATAGATCAGTTGCTACGAATAAAACTTATGGTGCTTGCTCTAGCGATTACAATAAAAATTAAAAAAGGCGTTCCATCAAGCACCCAAACACTGTGTTCAATTGTGTAACACAGTGTTTATCTGTGTCTTTTTGGTAGAAAGCACACACAATCTAATAAAGTTGTCGACTATGCTAATCACGCTGCCTTTTGTTTTTATTAAATGTGATGTCTCGTCTTTTAGGTATTCCTGCGAATGCGAGCCTGGCTTTACCGGGCAATACTGCGAGACTGACATAAACGAATGCGCAAGCAATCCGTGCGCGAACGGCGGCCGTTGCATTGATGTGATAAACGGCTTCAGATGCGAGTGCCCACGCGGTTACTACGATGCCAGGTGTCTGAGCGACGTGGATGAGTGTACGAGCTCGCCTTGCTTGAATGGCGGCACTTGCGAGGACGGGGTGAACCAGTTCATCTGCCATTGCTTGCCCGGTTACGGCGGCAAGAGGTGCGAGGCGGACATTGACGAGTGCAGTTCAAACCCCTGCCAGCACGGCGGCACATGCAACGACCATCTGAATGATTACAGCTGCAAATGTTTGCCTGGCTACGCCGGCATCAATTGCGAGACCAACATTGACGACTGTGCCAACAACCCCTGTCAGAATGGCGGCTCCTGTATCGATCTCGTTAACGACTATAAATGTGTCTGCGAACTGCCCCATACTGGCAGAAATTGTGAGGACAAACTGGATCCTTGTTCGCCGAATAAGTATGACTTTTTCTTTCGAATTTATTTACACGAGAATGGATAGCTAGATCCGTATACATACATAAATCCAAAAAAAATTTATATATAATCAGGATCAGATTTAATCATGTTGTACTGTCTTAAACAGTCAAAATCGTTGGAATATTATCTGAAAAGATCTTGAGTCAGCATTACAGAGAACTTACTTTAGAAATTGTAGAACTAAAAACTTTGATTAAAGAATTTTTAAATGTTACTTTTTATATATCTAAGTAAGAGGCATGTATTTTTTATAATGTATTTAATATATGAATGCAATTGTGACAATGCGACTGCTAACACTTTGCTTCTACACAATCACCTTCTACTTGAATTTATTCATAACGTTGCGAATTTACTTACGAGAGTGATATTCACTTCTTTAAGAGCTTCATTTAATGTTCAATTTTACAATAAAAGTTATCCGCATAGATGATCTACATAATAGAACGACTTTATAACATTTACTGTGTCATTTCCAGATGCCTCCATGGAGCAAAGTGTTCACCATCGTCCAATTTCCTCGACTTTGCGTGTACGTGTACGGTTGGTTATACAGGCAGACTGTGCGACGAGGATGTGGACGAGTGCGTGATGACTACGCCGTGCAGAAACGGTGCCACTTGTCGGAACACCAACGGCTCTTACCATTGCATATGCGCCAAGGGCTACGAAGGCCGTGATTGCATCATCAATACCGATGACTGTGCATCATGTGAGTACAAGCCACTGGCTGTTTTTTTGCCTCTTATTTGCTACAGATGCAGATCTTGTTTTGCTTTTATTTGAGATCCTTAATGCGAATCTACAGAGCGTCATCTGTTTTATCGCGCGATGACATAGATTGAATTAAATGCGTTTAATAAACGTGTCGCCGAAATACTCAAGGAAAATCTCTTGGCTGCTTACAGTTCCTTGTCAGAATGGTGGCACCTGTTTGGATGGTATCGGCGATTACACGTGTTTATGCGTGGATGGTTTCAATGGAAAACACTGCCAGGACGACATTGACGAATGCCAATCGCATCCCTGTCAAAACGGAGCCATTTGTAAGGAATACGTCAATTCCTATACATGCCAATGTCAGCTTGGCTTCTCCGGCATTAATTGTCAGACGAACGACGAAGATTGTACCGAAAGTAGTTGCATGAATGGTGGCACATGTATCGATGGCATTAACAACTATACATGTGTCTGTAGACCTGGCTACACAGGATCCAATTGTCAATATCGTATCAATGAGTGCGACAGTTCGCCCTGTTTGAACGGCGCTACCTGTCATGATCACGTGCAGTATTACACATGTCATTGTCCATACGGCTATACAGGTAAGCGATGCGACAAGTACGTCGACTGGTGCGTCGACAATCCATGCGAGAATCAGGCGATATGCGTGCAAGAACAGAACAAATATTACTGTAACTGCTCAGCCGGATGGACCGGCAAAGTATGCGATGTAGAGATGGTCTCCTGTAAGGATGCTGCCATCCGAAAAGGCGTGCCGGAAAAGAATCTCTGCAACAATGGCACCTGTGAGGACGTAGGCAATAGTCATCGTTGTCATTGTTTTGAGGGTTACATCGGCTCTTACTGTCAAGAGGAGATCGACGAATGTGATACTGCGCCTTGTCAAAACGGCGCGACCTGTAAAGATCTCATCGGTTCGTACCAATGCCAATGCACTAAGGGTTTTCAAGGTCAGAATTGCGAGCTTAATGTCGACGATTGCCGACCGAATCCTTGCCAGAATGGTGGCACTTGCCACGATCTGATCAACAGCTTCAGCTGTTCCTGTCCGCCCGGCACTATCGGCTTAATATGTGAAATTAATATCGACGATTGCGTGATCGGTGCTTGCCACAACAATGGTACTTGCACCGACAAAGTGGGTGGTTTCGAGTGCAAGTGCCCGCCCGGTTTTGTCGGACCGAGATGCGAGGGTGACATCAATGAGTGCTTATCCAATCCATGCGCCTCATCCGGCACTCAGGATTGCGTGCAACTGGTCAACAATTATCACTGCAACTGCAAGCCTGGCTATATGGGTCGTCATTGTGAAGTCAAGGTCAACTTTTGCGACAGCTCGCCGTGTCAAAATGGCGGTCTATGCACAGCTAAGCAGGATGGACACTCATGTGCATGTCCCAGTGGTTATCACGGTGTCAATTGCGAATTTGCCGGATCTTATTGCGACGCCCAGCCATGTTTGCATGGTGGTACTTGTCGCATTGAGACCAGTATGGGCTACCATTGCTACTGTCCACCAGGCACGACCGGCACGCATTGTGAGATCGATACCCGAACCGACTGCGACAGTAATCCGTGCCAGCATCCTGATGCCAATTGCCAAAACATGATGGGCACCTATGTCTGCTTCTGTCCCTCCAAGTGGACCGGCAAAAATTGCGAGACATACGATCCGAGTTACACTGGTATATTTGACAGGTCCAATATCAACATACCTAAGATGAACGAGTTTGAAGTTGATTTGGAGCATGAGCGTAAAAAGTGTGCTCAGAATCATTGCGACCAGAAAGCCGGTAATCATCACTGCGATGAGGAGTGCAATCGATACGCGTGCAACTTTGATGACAATGACTGTTCACTAGGCATCAATCCATGGCGTAACTGTACGGCGCCTATGTGTTGGCAAAAGTTCATGAACAACATGTGTGACGAGGAATGTAACAATCCACAATGTCTTTTCGACGGTAGAGACTGCGAGAAGAAGCTTTCCCCTTGCAAGTGAGTATCTGTTCTTTGCTATAAATTCTTTGTTTAATTACTTACATTATGTTGCATAAAACACTGTTCTTAACAGAGATGAATACATTGAAGACTTTTTTTTTAAATCTCTAATTTCCGAGTCTTTTACTATAAAAGTTATGTTTTAGTTTTTGTTTTTTTACTTTATATTAAATGCAAGATTCTAGAATAATTATATTTGGAGCACTATATTTTTATTATGTCATTTATTTATTTGTTATTATTTGCATTTTGTAGCCCGGTCTATGATGCATACTGCAGGAAACATTATGCCAACGGTCATTGCGATTACGGTTGCAACAACGCGGAATGTAACTGGGATGGTCTTGATTGCGACAAGGAGCCACCATCATTGGCGGAAGGTATCATGTACGTAGTTGTAAGGATGGATCTCCAAACCTTTAGCAAGAATATTGTTAACTTCCTGCGTGACGTGGGTCATCAATTGAGAACGATGGTACGCGTGAAGCAGGACGAACTTGGTAACAATATGATATATCCTTGGAAACGCGACAGACAATCTACCGGGACTACCGACATATTCGGACAGCCGATCTATCCTAATACTATGCATCATAATGGAGTAATTGCCTACTTGGAGATAGATAATCGTAAATGCACAATGACAGATGGTGCGTTATGCTTCGCGTCGGCAAACGAGGCCGCTGAATATTTGGCTGCTACAGCATCGAAGCATACCCTGTCGCAGAATTTCCCTATTGAGCAAGTGCGAGGTGTCGTGAAACCTCAGAATCCAGAATATACGGATAGCCCAACGAATTACAAGTATGTTTTTATCGGCGTGGTTATTGTGGTACTTGGCGGATTACTGGTGGGCGTGCTGGTGACTGCGCAACGGAAACGCGCCGTAGGAGTCACATGGTTTCCCGAGGGCTTTTTGAGGACCAACAGCGGTAGCGGTCAACGACGTCGTTCGCGTCGGCGCGGCCCGGATGGCCAGGAGATGCGTAATCTAAACAAACAGCCATCGATAAACTGCATGGACATGGACGTACACAATAGCCGGGTACAATCTCAATGGTCCGACGACGAGTCCGATTTGCCACCGTCGAAGCGGATGCGTGCCATCGAGCCGGGTTACGCCAGTGATCACACTGCCATTACGGATTATGAGGAGACAGAACCACGTATGTGGACGCAACAGCATCTGGACGCGGCCGAAATACGTCGACCGGACGCTGGAGTATTAACACCGCCCAGTTTGGAACACGGTCAGGATGTGGACGCGCGTGGTCCTTGTGGCATGACGCCGTTGATGGTAGCGGCGGTACGCGGCGGCGGACTTGACACTGGTGAAGAGGAAGACGAGAGCGACGGCACCGCGGCAGTGATCGCTGACTTAGTCGCTCAGGGAGCCGATCTCAACGCCACTACGGACAAAAGCGGCGAGACGTCACTACATTTGGCCGCGCGTTATGCACGGGCCGATGCGGCCAAGAGATTGTTGGACGCGGGTGCCGACGCGAATTCACAGGACAACACCGGTCGCACGCCGCTGCACTCTGCCGTCGCGGCCGACGCCATGGGAGTTTTTCAGATTCTGCTACGTAATCGGGCGACGAATTTGAACGCGCGCATGCATGATGGCACTACGCCGCTGATACTGGCTGCGCGTCTGGCCACAGAGGGCATGGTGGAAGATTTGATTAACGCCGATGCGGACATTAATGCAGCCGATAACAGCGGTAAAACCGCGCTGCATTGGGCTGCAGCGGTAAACAATGTTGATGCCGTCAACATACTGTTGGTGCACAGCGCGAATAGAGACGCTCAGGATGACAAGGATGAGACCCCATTGTTCCTTGCAGCTCGCGAAGGCAGCTTCGAGGCGTGCAAAGCGTTACTGGACACGTTTGCTAATAGGGAGATTACCGATCACATGGATCGGTTACCTCGCGATGTTGCCAGCGAAAGACTGCATCATGATATCGTTAGACTACTCGATGAACACGTACCGAGATCGCCGCAGATGGTCACAGTCATTCCGAATGGTCCTCTTATAGGTAAGTGTTTTTATTATTTTCTTTCTTTTTTTTTGTTATTTATTTTCTAGGTAAAATATCGTTACATAATGTATTTATCTTTTTCTTGCAGGATCTCCAAATCATACACAATTAATCACGCATCCTACGGTGATCGGTTCAGCGCCGAAGCAAACCAAGTCAAAGAAGCGACCAAAGGCGGGCGGCATGGGAAACCCGAACAGTCCAGAATCTGAGGGCGGCGGTGCGGTGGTGATGGTAAGGCGAAAACCATCAGTGAAGAAGCCCCCGGTTAAGCGCGGCTCTCAGCCCCCAAACCAGGAGATTCCACAAGGAGCGGAAGGCGCCGAGGGTAACCTGCCAACGAGTCCGTATGACAGTGCGAGTCTCTATAGTAATGCATTACCTTTAGTGGCTCATACGGTGACGGGAAAACAACCACCACCGTACGAAGACTGCATTAAGGGTCAGTCGATACAGGGTTTGCAGCAACTCGGACTGGACACTTTTGCGACCAATTACGGATTGCCATTTCACGAGCAGCTCCTAGCGCCACATCAACGACAGCAGCAAGGCATGGTGAACACACTGTCACCGCCGTACAGCAATCAGTCGCCACCGCATTCTGTGCAATCTAACATGACCCTCTCTCCACAAGCGAGCTACATGGGCTCGCCGTCACCGGCGAAAAGTCGGCCGTCGCTGCCTACCTCGCCAACTCATATTGCCGCTATGCGGCAGGCGACGCATCAGAAGCATGGCAGCATGCCACCAGTCGGCTTTGATTTCGACAATCTGCCATACTCCTCGAGCCAGCAACAGCAGCAACAGATACAACAAACGCAGCAGCAACAGATACAACAAACGCAGCAGCAACAGATACAACAAACGCAGCAGCAACAGATACAACAAACGCAGCAGCAACAAATACAACAAACGCAGCAGCAACAGATACAACAAACGCAGCAGCAACAGATACAACAAACGCAGCAGCAGCAGCAGCAGCAGCAACAGCAGCAGCAACAACACCAACAACAGCAGCAACAGCAGCAGCAGCAGCAGCAACAACAGCAGCAGCAGCAGCAGCAACAGCAGCAGCAACAACACCAACAACAGCAGCAACAGCAGCAGCAACAGCAGCAGACGCAACAATATTATCAGTACTTGACACCACCATCCCATCATTCCGGACCCGATGTTACACCGCAGCATCTGATGCAGGCACCTGAGAGCTTCCCGACACCTTCGCCGGATAGTCCGGGCCATTGGTCCTCGAGCTCGCCCCATTCGAACAGCGATTGGTCAGAATGCATGGCCTCGCCTACGAATGCCTACGGCACGAGCGGCGGCGCTCACCAAAGCAACAAGGGTTCCGAGGCGATCTATATTTGAGACCGGCGCGATGGTACTCTCTTTCGCATACGAGTAAGTCATAATGTCAAAAAAAATAAAGAAAAGAGAAATGTATATGAACTGTGATTAGCTCGTCGAATTCGAACATCTAGACGTTGAAAAACGTGGCAACGGTTAAAACGACGACAAAAGATTCTTCTGTAATAGATCGGCAAGATGATAAGAAGGTATTTTTGTTTTTTTTATTCGTTTATCGGAAAAGCTAAGACGCTCACACCGCGATTATTGTACATTAATACGCATCAGCGTTGGACATTATTCAAATAAATATATTTACTAATACAATTATACCGAACACAAAACTATTCGTGATTATACAAGAGATGTTCACGTCAAAACCGGAATTTAATTTTTAAACAGGTGAAGAGACAAAATTATGAGTAAAGAACATTTATTTTTCAACGTAATCTTCATTTACATCACAGCATTCACAATCAAGCAATTCTGAACAGACGCGAACTCTCTCTTGCTTCTGAGGATCAGTCAGTTGTTTCAGAACCCTTCTCGCAGAGATTTTACGAAAGTGTAGGTGGTCGTGGATAATTTTTTCAACATTTCCAATACTTATGGACGTTCATTTCGCTATTTCACGACCAATTACTTACCGGCCAATTACTACACGACCAATTACTATCGGCGCTCAAGATGAGGTTCTCTATTGAATGTTGACATCAGTCATCATCGTGGCATCTGACTCTCCTCTTCCAGCGTTGTCTCGAACTGATTCGCGCTCTTTAAAGTGTGCACACTATTCATAGATCTGTGTCTTCAGAGTTTGTTCTCCAAACTAGGCTATAAGTCTTAGCAAAATTTTGGCTAATTTAACATCTTTGTTCACAAGAAAACGAATAATAATATGCTGCGCAATAGCTTTATTGGGTGCGTCGTCCGCCATCTTGAATAACTGACAATATATACTCTTTTCAGCGAGAGAATATACCTCGGTCTACGCATAGGAAAAGCATAGCGGCCAAAGTGGGGAGAGCGTTGACATGGAGCGCGTTCAGTAGAACAAACCATTTAGTAGCAATCGAACGTGATTGGCTCTTACTTTTAGAACCAACAAATCAACGTTAAGTATTGACAAGACGACAATTCAGTAGTTGTTTTACTGAACGCAGCCCATGGACGTAAGAATATATGGACAGAGCGATAGCCAGCGGGGTTGAAGTCAGAGGGGCAAAGGGAAAACTAGCCGACCAAGATGGCGGCTACGGGTAATTCGGGTAACTAAACGAGCGCGGAATGTATAATATATAAATATTATTCATTACACAAGCGCCAAGCCAAGATTAGGTTAATAACACCGTCATTTTTCTAGCCAATCAACATATCGCTGCATGATTTCCCTCTGCCGCTCAGGCTTCACCTCCCTCGCCTATAAGACTTATCGCTCTGTCCATATATTCTTAGGTCCATAACGCAGCCATTGACAAGCTGCACGAGCAGTTTAGTCTTGTGGAGTGGGGGGGGGGGGGCTTTATAAGCGTCCCGTGAGGGGAGATCTGCACGAAACGGATGAGTTTTTGTCCGAAACGAGTATATTCTCTCGCTAGATAAAGTATAGTTGCTATGACAATATGTTATTCTTACAGAAAGTTTATACGGACGTATTTAATTGTAAATATGATATGCTTGATGTAAAAACACAAACAGTACGCAATTACTGAAAAAATTCCGGTTTTGACATCCCTCGTAAATTTGTCAATTAATTGTTTTACATGAATCATTTATCATTGACATAAATTTAGTCAATCATTAATGATATTTATTAATCAGAATCCTAGAAATAAATTTGTGTTCAACAATAATGCATATAAATATAGATAAATAGATACAAATATTTGTGTGTGAAAGAGAAACTTCTGATCACAGAATCTATAAGATATATTCAAATTGTAACACCAATTGTGCCTCTCTGACACGACGCAATGTCTAGGAAAAGTGCGATGAAAGATACGCGTAATTTGCATAAAAATACTCGATATATTTTTGATATCGATCGATTTTTATTATCGCGACGTTACATATAGCTCAATGAATAAACGGTGCCTTCAACTTGCCAATGTGAAGATCCCCGATAGACAATAATTAAGAGAACAAAATCTTGCTATTTTACAATAATTGTATATAATATAATAAATTTATAGGATACGAGAGGAATTGTTCGCCGCTATGTCTATTATTACACGAAGATGGCTACGTAATATGTAATATTTTATTTAATGCTTAAGATTTGCGCACACAGCGCACATTTATACACAAAGGAATTGTATTTATCGCGTATGGACTCCGATTCTTTCTTTTCTTATCGTACATTTTGATCGGCCAACTTTCTTGAGCGCCAAGCGGCAGAGCCGGATTTAAAGAAGTGGGGGCTCCGGGGCGGCAGTGGGGACCGTTAATTCGTAAGAGATTAAAATCATTGAAAACTCATTTAAAAATTCGTAAATTTAAAAAAGTTGAAAATACATATTTCAATATTATTACAACAAATATTTAAGATATATTTAATGATACAAACTACAATGTTTGCGATACTCTGGCATTCAAAATGCACATCGCGGTCATCATCCGGGAACCAATGGCATATATTTAAGAAATATTTGATACATTTCCAAAACATATATCAAATATACATATATAGATTTTTTAACCAAATTTTCTTTTTAATCAAGTTTTGTTTGTGGGGGCCCCCAATTTGTGGAAGCCCCTGGGCGATCGCCCTGTCCGCCCATCTTCAAATCTGGCACTGCCAAGCGGTACGATAACAGTCGATAGCAGCTCTCGCGATATCACATAAATGCAAACGTAACATATAAAGACTTACAGCAAATGAGAATTGTGCCTTCGAGTTCCGCAGAGTATAAGACAAGCAGGTTTTGTAGGTGAATCTATTATTAAATTATATGGGAAGAAACGCAACGTTTTTCCACAAATCGCCTCCAAGTCGATTAAACGTTCATTACTAATTAATATATATCTCTCAGAGATATTAATTTACTGATTACGCGTGTAATGTAATGTAATGTAATGTAATGCAGGGCAAAGAGACGTCTGTACGGTCGACGGGAGCTTCAGAGAACTCATCCTTACTGCTCGCGGGGCATCGTTCCATACATAAACATTCCATTGCGTATGGCGCGCCAACAATTTTTCCCTTTCCCTATTTGATTCATCTTTCTGTGCTTTGCGTTATTAAGTCCTTTCTAAAATCATTTATTAATCACTCTAGCGTAATTATTAACGTTAATTTCTAGATATATTGATTGTCTTAAATTAAGTATTTGGCGCGGAGCGGTAGGACGATTCTCTGGTCTCTTCTCTGCCAAAACCAAAACGACATTGTTAAGATAATCATATAATCACGTGTATACACAATACACATAATGAATAATAATGAAGTTATTGTAAAGATTATGGAGAAAGAGGGAGAGAAAAAGAATGTTTGTGTATGTATATGTTA